ACAACAGCGAGGTGCTGCTGCATCCTTGGCAGGAAGGATGGGATGTTGTAGCACAAAGATTCGAGAGGGCTGGGGCTGGGGCTGGGGTGAGAGAGGGGCAGCCGAACAAACAGAGCATGCAGTGTTTGGCCTTGATGCTGGCCCTGCCTCTGTTTTTACAGGCCCCGATAGCAGCCGGCCCAGCTCTGCCACCTGCCACCATTTGTAAATAAAAACACAAGCCGCTTCCTGTACTCCTGTGGTGACAATAATAAATCCCTGCCCTTTCCTGCCTCCTGCTTCTTTACTAAAATATTTAGAGGTCACAGGCCAGAGGGGCCTCTTTCCAGTGCAAACGCAGCCGTCACTCAGTCCTCTGCAGCAGTGAGAGTCACCGGGACCTTTATCGCTGCAGATGCAATGGCAACGGACACGGAAGAAAGCCTCTCGGGAGGCCATGTATGTGGAAGCCGTGTCATTAGCATGTCTGGATCGCAAGTGGGACTAGGACATGGCTACAGCACCTGGAGATTGTGCTGCGGGGCGGGTCCAGGCAGCTGGCTTCACGGGCTGCTTGCAGGAGACAAGGGGCATGTGGAAAGGGGGCTGCTACAGTGCTGGGAGCTTAGAAATGGCACTAAAAGTATGGCGCAGTGCAGTCCAGCCAGCTTTGAAAAGCTTCCAGGTATTTGTGGGGCTTTTCATTCCTCACCTCTTTGTGTCTGAATGTCCTTGCTTCCATTACCATGGCATGAGTCAGGCTTTAGACCGTGCCTGCTGCCCTTTATACACTATTTGGGCTCTGCGATCCCCCTGGTAGCTGCAGCAGCCAGCTGCTGCCTGATCTTTCTCGGAAGATCATGCATATTGCGTTGGCAGGAAAGAGAGAGACTGAAGGCAGGGTCCCAATACCAGCCCTCATCTGGTATTGAAGCCAGGGAAGGAAATGAGCTGAATATGCTAGGCAGCCTTCTGTTAATGAGCCATTGTGGGATAATCCAGTCCGGTTTGGGCAGGAACTGAAGAGACAGCATCCGTGCACAAACAGCATACTCTCTCCTACACAAATACACACACACTGAGCTTTCTGTTGCAGCAATGCCCCAGGAGCCGGGGTAATTCCCCAGTGAGATGCAGGGGCTTTCACCCAGGCTGAAATGCATGAGGCACTCTCTTCATTACAGGGCACCTGGGCACGACGCCATATCATGGAATGGAAGATACATCAATGGCCCCCAAACAGGAGCGGGCTGGGGTAGAGACTGACCCCAAGGGGAGTTTCCAGAAGCTATAGAGAGAGGCACAGACTCCTTCCTAGAGCCAATGAGCCCAGAATCAAGGGCAGATCCTGAGTGGCGAACAGCTCGCGCTCGGGCTGGGGACAGCTTGGCTTGGTTCCCGGGTAAAAGCAAACGGGGCCTTAGGGTTTGCTCCACCAGAGCCCAGAGATGCAAGAGGCTTCACATCGTCCAGGGGTAGCCAGTGCAGGACGGTTCCTGACACCGCTTGGTGCCGCAGTGCACCAAAGAGGAGATTTGTGTGAGGCAGAAGAAAATGATGCTGGTTAAGACCAGCAGCTGGGCAATACCCTGAGCAGCTCCTGAGCTAAACACAGCCAGGCTGGCTCGGTGCTTGGAAGGGCAGACGACCAGCAGAGCTCCCGGGTCCTGTAGGAAGTAGGGTTAGTGATCCCACGGGTGCCTGCCCTGGTGACAAGGGATCTGATCGAGTTTGCCCGAGCCAACTTCCACAGTGGGTTTCATGAGCAAGTACGAGCAAAGTGCTTTGAGATCCTCCAGTGATCAGAGCCATTTACAGTCAAGACGTTGTTATTACGTTAGGATTTCTGCCCCAGGAGAGCCAGCAAAGCTGCTGGGAAAGATGATTGGCCTTCCTTGAAAGTGTTTGCTTTCGACGCTTTAAATGGATGAGTAATACAGCAGCTATGCCTTTCCACTGGGTTTATTTCTCATAACAGCTCTACTTTCTAATAACAGGCCACATTCTGACTCAAAGGCAGAAGAGATGACTGCAGCTCCCAGACACACGTCAGCTGTAAGGAGACAAGGAGCGCAGCACTGCGCTGTGCCTGGTGCAATTCAGGTGGTTGGCTACGCAAAGGGTTTTGGAGAGTGTCAGCTGTGTGTCACCTGCCATGCACGTACCTGTACCCAGTGCAACTACCGCTTGTAGAGTCCCCTGCTTTGGTAATCGGACCTGGTCCTTTTGGCATCTGAGAACCCCCTTGTGCTGTCAGTCATGCCCAACAGACTGGCACCCCATGCGCTGTCTGGCAATCGTTGTCCTGCGTTGGCAGCGACAACCTGCATATTCAGTGGACTGGTACCCTTGGTGACCTATGTCACGCCAGGTGTATAGAGTGGCCACGATGGTCCTGAGCTACCCTGTATTTACATTACCTGCATAAACAGCCCCCCAAAGCAGCGCTGAGCTCTTCTAGCAATGCAGTACTCCACCTGCCAGCATGGATGATTGGATGGGGGAGCCAGGGACTCCAACGGGCACTATCAGACTCCTGGAGACTCGTGTGTGATGAGCTGAACCAAGTGACATTGCCCTGAATCAATGAGATATTGCCATTGACTGCACTGGAGTAAGAGGGCACAATGCCTTTGAAGTTAATGGGAGTTGAGTCTCTAGCTCTGAGGCTGCATTGGTCCTTTAGGTTGAGAGTCTACAAGGAACCATCAAGGGGGCTGTCCCATGGCTTATTCCTTCCAAATACCATCAGGCAGCAGGATAACCCAGGATACTGCTGGCTAATGTCCAGGACCTAACCTCTGTCACTCTGGTGCTGCCAGTAGGCTGGAGGCTGCAATGATTAACTGGAAGGGCCTGAGGTCCTTGGAGTTTGCTTTGCACTTCAGCAGGGCAGTGGAGTGGTTTTGCAGCGAGTTGAAGCGGTTTGGGGGCAGATCACATCCACTTGCTTGGTTTCTCAGTAATAGACATTGTGGTAATCTTTATTCATCAGGCATCTCGACGGGTCAGCAGGTGATCTGGCAGATACCCGACCCATCTGGGTCACAGCAGGGTCAGGCAGAGAGCAGCTAGGTGCAGTCCAGGCCCCAAAGCCGGTTGTCCAGAAGTTCCTGCGGAAACTTTGAAGCAGGCAGGAAGGAGTTAAGGCCCCAAATAGCTGCTGGCTTGGGATAAAGCTGTTTCGGTGAACTCAGCTTGAGACACCTGGGGTTTGGTTTTCCAAAGGGCCAGTCAGCCCACCAGCTGGTGCTTACATGCCTCCTGGGGAACATCCTCCCTGTCAACAGGATAGAGCATCTTTGGGATTGTTTAATCCCCAGTGTCTCAGAAAACCATGTCATAAATCAGTCAAACTCAAATATATTTGGCTTCCTTCATCTGCTTCTAAACTGCCGGACATTGACCTTGGTGTTCTCCTGAAAAAAGGCTTCCTTGGGAGCGGTGGGATTTTTCTGGTGAAACAGGAAGGGAGGAGGAAGTTTGTGTCCAGACAAGAGTGGGACCAGGGGGCTGCAGGTGGGGGATGACCAGCAGGAGTAGATGGGCTTTCAGGCCAGAAAGATGAAGCCCTTGTTTGGCCAGCCTCTGGTCTACTGATGGGCATCGATGTGTAGAAGACAAATAGAGCAGGGGCAGCGGCTCTTCACAGACATAATCACTAGCGTGCCCCTATGGACCTAAGGCAGAATCCATGGGTGCAGAAGTCCGGAGGAGACTGTAAAAGTAGACCAGTGCAAATCATGACTAAGACTTTCCTCCGTACTGTATTCAGGGCTGGAAAGTCACGTCCTTCCCCTGGGGCTGAACTATTTAGGGACTTTGTACACAAACAGAACAAACTTTGTTAGACTTGCCGAGGGAAGCCCATGTGTTGTGCTGGTCCAGCAGAGGCGGAGGCTAGGGAGCTTCCAGAAATGACCCAAACTCCTCATCTCCCCAACTCTGCCTCCCAGGAGAGTAGCGTGAATCAGAGTTTAAGCGGTAACTTGGATGTGACCATCTCCACTCCATTCCACTCAAAAAACAGTCTTTTGCAGCAGATTTGTGCATGGCAATGATACTCTGGGCTCGTTATGAATCCCCCATGCTTACCTGCGTCTCTTAGGCTAGGCACAGACTTTACGCATAAACCAGCGTAAGTGATCGGAAACCAGTTCAAATCTGTAACACAGCAGAGGTTCGGTGCCTATAAACTGCTTTCAAAATGGCTGAAACCGGTTTAAGATAAACCTGGATGGAGGTAGTATCAGACTCAACTGATTTAGGTTAAATCTGTTTATTGAACTTCTGTCCCAGATCTTAGAGCCACTGGGAGGGGAGGCAGAGACAATGGGTCATGGCCAAGGATGCGTTCATAGCTGGCGATTGAGTTACTGCCCAGAAGCAAACCCGAGATCCTGCCAGCTGGGTACTCAGATATCACGATGATGGGCATGGCATAAAAGCCTGGAGAAAGTCCAGCAGGGAACTCATGGAAGTAGACACAGAGGATCGTCCTAGGAGTTCACATCCTGGCTGAGAGAAATCCTGGAATCCACTAAAAATATGAACTATGAGTGTTTAGGAAGTGCTGTTTTCTGCTGAATTCATTCCTCCAGGGAAAATTACCAAGAAGCTTGTTAAGTGGATCAGACTCTGTCTGCCTTCCCTCCACTATTCCCCCCAGGAAGATTCAAGTTTCTTTCCCAGGGCATTTGGGATATTAATAACTTTTGTCATCTTTATGACAAGCACCTGCACCTCATGATCTCAAAACCCTTGTCAGGCATCACTGGCGCCCTACAAATTACACTCCCCCCCGCCCGACGAACAGTCAGCTTGCATCACTGCCATGCAACAGCTGGGTGCAGAGTGAAAACCCTGCGTCCCACCTGTGGGCTGGTCCCCGAGACTGATGCATGGGCTTTCGGGGCAGGCAGGCTTTCCAGGGCCACCCTCCTGCTGTTGTGTCAGACCCCACGGTGCCGGCGTGCCTGCTGACCGCACCATGCGCTGGGGTCCTCAGGATCTAAAGCGGGAGGCTGAGAGACCTGAGGGTGCTACTAGGACTCTTCTAAATTTGGGCTGCACTGCTGACTGCTGAAGGTGTCAGCTGCCTGGTGACAGGCGTTCAGTGGCTTCATCTCCCTCTGGTAGTTTCTCCCCCAGACATGATTGCAGCTGCCCTCTCTGTGCATCGGTGATTCAGAAGCCTGTCTTTCCACCCTGACTGGTCTCTCTCCAACCTGCCCCACATCTCTACCTGTCCCCAGCGACTGGCTGTCAGCTCTGACTTCATTTGACTAAGAGCCATCTCCTGACCTCCTTCCCTGCTTCTTGGCCCCTCGCCTCCTCTCTTGCCTGTTGCATTGCACCACCCATGAATGGTGCGTGCCCCTGGCAGCTGGGGGGGCATGGCTGTGCTGGCCACCCTTTCCTATCAGCCAGGCCCACAACCTCCTTCCTCGCCTGACCCTAGCAGCAAGTGTTGGTCAGGCTGGGCCCCAAGAGACACCTTAAAGACAGTCAGGATTAAGAGGAATCATCAATCTTGATGTGACATAGCTCTAAGACACCCCACTTTTCTGCATGCTATTAAAAATCTCCCTCAAGCCCCCAGGTTTTGATGCCTCTCCTTCCTCCTAGTTGTTGAGGATGCAGTTGCATATCACTGTGACCCTGGCCCTCTTACAGCTCCTTCTCTTCCACTGCCTGAAGCTTAAGCAGATGGTCCGGCTTGCATGGCTCCTCTGAAGTCTGCTCCTGGCTGAATCCCACCTCTGCTCCACCAGCAACCCCAGCACCTCTCACATTGGCCTGCCTCTCTCACAACTGCCTTTATACCATCTCCCACGTGGCCCCTTCCTCATAGAAAGCCCTTTGGGAACTGACCCCCAACACCCTCTCCTCCTTCAAGGCCCTTTTCAAGACCCAGGTCTGTAATGCTGTGGACAAGGAAAAGCTAGTGGGCCGATCTTGTTGGCTGGGAGGGATGCTGGGACCAGCAGCAGCTGTTGCTGGGAGCCAGGGAAATGCCAGGCCATGTCTGGGTCTCAGGGTCGTTTGCAGGTTGATTTTAGGAGGGGAGGACAATGCATCGCTCCCTTGACCATCAGTCCTCCCCTCCTGTGTGCTCTCGCCTTCTCTAGCTGCAAGTGCTTCAGAGCAGGGACAGGGAGGAGGTATTTGGAAAGCACCTGCCCAAATCAAAATCATAGCTTGCCTTGAGGCTTTTATGCAACCAACCAGTCAACCATCAAGCACCTGCTTATAGGGGATCGTCACCGACATACTCCCCAAAGTTCTTCCAGTAACCTATTCAGTGTGAACCTTGGAAAGCCACCCCTTGCCCATGCACCTCCTCCAGAAGCAGCACCCACTGCCTGCTGGCACCCATGGAAGGCCTTCTACTGGTCTCTGAGAAAACCAGCTTTGGCCTCTGTTTGCCTTTGGCACCAGCCTCTCACCTCCTCTCCTCTCAGGTCCAAACTTATCGCCATCCCACCTAGAGCTGGTGTTTACCAGCTTTTCACTCTGCTGAACTCGTCCTGGTGTCCTCAGTGGACTTCACCACCTTTCAAGCCTGCCCTCCTTGGTGCAAGGCCAAAGCATGAGCCTGGCGGCCTTTGAGCTGAGTGCACGGCTCATTAATTCTTGGCAGAGTGGCTGGCTCGGTGTTTTTGTTTTGGGCTGTTTCTGGGGATCTCCGAGTGGGTCAGCAACCAGTGGTTGGTATCAACAGTTACAGCTGACTGAGCCTTCGTGTTTACACCTCCCCTGGCAAGCAACGTGGGCACCATCCTTTGTGTATTAGTATCGATAACAGAAGCATCTGGCTACTTGGTGACTATAATATCAAAGCTTTTGCCCTCAGAGTGCAGACCGCATGGACTGACTGTCATAAACAGCCCATGGACACAGGTGGTGGGGTCCCACTGGAGTAAAGTATCTAGAGGAGTGGTCCCAACCATTTTAGGCTCAAGGCACCCCTTAGAAAATGCCGGCTCTTAGCATTCCCTTCTTCTTTGACTATGGAGAAATAACAGAGCAATTCTTCTGTTGCAAAGAGCTCAGAAAGACCCCAGGTCAGAACATTTTTGACACCATCAATTCCTATTTAGTATCTCTGGGTTATCTTGTGAATCATGTGTAGGTGTTTGCACACCCCACTGTACCACAGCACCCATGAAAGGATCTCACAGCACCTAAGATTGCTGCAGCACCCTGATGGAGAATCGTGGAGCTAGAGCAATAGAGCTAAAGCTGGGGTCCTTCTTAGCCCCTCCTGGGGAAGACTAGGAGAGGTGTCACGGAGGTAGCAATAGTTACCTGCTTCCTGAGTGCACAGGGCTTGGGAGGCATTCTCAAGCCAGGCTGTTGTCCCAGCAGCGCTTGTCAGGCTGGTACTGGGATCTATAGGAAACATAGCATCGTGTTGCTGTAACTTCTGGCTCGTCCTGCTTTCAGATTAGGCTTGTTAGGGTATGCAAAGAGCTCCAAGATCCCTGGGGAAGGGGCAACAGAGGGTCAAAGCACTGCCAGTTACAACTATTGCACTTATGATCTTGCTGGATAGGAGGGATGCTGGGACCAGCAGTGTCTGTTGTGGGAACCTTGGAAATGCCTTATCACTGTGGCTAGAGTATTGGGGTCTCTACCCATAGTTTGGTGGTTGCTGAGAACCTACTGGGAGGGGGTTGTGAGTGCCTAGACCCCTTCCCCATCCAAAGTTGGATGTAGAAAAGGGGGTGTCCTTTGCCCAGCCCCCCCGTTCCCGGAGGGATCTCGAGCCGTGTGCTGGCAGCTCCCCTCTGAGGACATAGGGAGTGTTGGCAGAAAGTGCTTCCCCATCCCTTGGAGAGTGTCGCAGGCATCTCCTGGGACCAAAGCAGCCTCCATGCTGTTACCTGTGGTCACGCAGCTCCCCCTCGTGGACATTTGAGTGGCACCAGGTGATGAAGCTGCCCTTCCAATGGCTTGCATACCAGTTTACAGAATGGCAGAGACCTTCTGGATGGCCCCATGTGAGGGTCAGGCCCTCTCCATGGTCACATTTGACCCGGGCAATGAGGTAAGAGCACAGCCTCTCGTTGCAGAGATCTGACCGAGGGGATGTTACAGAGAACAATTCATGGTGACCTTGCACTTCATGGACGGTTGAGGATTCAGACAGAATGATATTCCTCGGTAACAGGGTGGACCATGCTAATCCTCCTCCTCAGGGCGTAGGGAAGAGGTTACGTCTGAGTCAGCCGGTGCCCCTGGGATATATGCCCAAGGATGGTCAGAACTTCACAGGCTGGCTTTCGTCCTTGCTTATTTTGCAGTGATTCACCGTGCCCTTTTCACTTCTCTTTGTGAGAACTCAGTGCCGTGGGGCATTGTTCCCGGCGGCCGTGGGCACGTTGCTCTGGATCCAGGAATCTGTCACCAAGCAGGGGATGCACTGCGTGGAGGGCAGCTGTTACCTCACAGCTGCTCATTGCTCTGTGTGATTATATTGTCTTCACTCACATTCCCTCCTCCTCTGGCTGGGTCTCATTTCTGTCTCCCCTGTCTGCTTTGCACACCCTGGCATTTCCTGCCTTGCAAGGAAAGAGACAAAGAGCTGTTTCATCCAAAGGCAATGCCAAAAAGCTATTAATGAGTAAGCATGTAGCAAGCATGTTCTACACAATAGCATGGCATGCTATGCTCCTGGTGGGCCTTCCAAGCTGCTGGATGGGCAGATGAATCAGCATGTGGAAAGGGCACATGTGGTGTTGGTGACATGAAGATCCTGCTTAATGTGTCCAGAGAGTTTTGGGGTGTGGGTTATATGGATGCCCCAGTCTCACACAGCACCGTGGACAACTGTATCTTCTTCCACTTTCAGCAGGGGAAGCATCCTTTGGCATGCCTTGCCTTCAGCTGTTTCATAGCAGTGCTGCTTCCCATCCCACAGCCTCTGGCTCTGGGGAGGACCAGAATCCTGTCACCTGCCTTCAGTGGTAAAACAGGTGGAATCTGCATTTCTGAGCCATAGGGAGGTGCTGAGTGGATCCCCTGATCCCAGCCTGGTGAAAACATTGTAGTTGCAGCATACAAGCCAGATGCTTGCTCTAAGGAACAGTCTGCATTAAAACCTGGGAAATCTCTAGTAAAGGTGCTGCTGTGAATGCCCCTGAAGTCCCTGCCTGGTTAGCACGGGCAATTCAATGGAGTCTGGATAACAGCACTACTTGCGGTCTACCCAATATTCAGCTTGGTGTCACAGTGCCACCTCCTGGGGGAAGCTGTGTGACATTTTTCGGATGCCAGACTTCACTTTCCCTGGTATGGTGACTTCCACCAGTGCTCAGTAGGTAGAAACTGCCACTAGCCCTTTGCACCCACTTGACACAGGAGTAAGTCATGGTTCAAGTAGCAGGGCCTGGGAGGATCAGGTCTCAGAGGAGGGATCCAGGAAAAGAGATCAAGAAAATCCCTCTAGTCCTCACCGCATCAAGGCAGCAGCAGGAGCACATAGGAGCAAGTAGGGGAGCAAGGTATTCCCCAGGCATAGCAGCGCCCTTCTGCTGACAACAGGGCAATTGTCCTGGCTAAGTCCCCTCATCCCAGGCAGCTGCCAAGCAGATTTCCAGCTCTTGTTATTTTATCATTTGTACCCCTGTAGCACCCAAAGAGCCCCAGCCCTGGGGGTCTCCTATGCCTTCTGCCAGCTGCTGGGTGGTGGCAGAAGTCGTACGCCATGAGTCAGGGGTGGAGGGACTCTGCTGGCTGCCTGGAGGGGTCTGCTACCACTGGCTGGGGACGCGCTCAATACTGTAGTGCAGACAAGGCCTTATTGGGACCTTTGCATCCCAAGCGATCCCTTAAATCCACTGGGTTGATAGACACGCCTGAGTCAGTGACGTACAAATGTTTATTGTGTGTACTGTTCTGCAGCACATCGACAAAGACATGCATCCATTCACAAACAAAGACAAGCTCTTTCCAGACATCCATTCTCCAATCCATCTTCAACGTCATTGCTCACATGCCCCAGCTCAAGAAACAAACCCAACAAAGCTCTTTGGTTAACCTCGCGAGCCCTGTGGAGCATACAACATCCCCAGGACAAGGCACCGGTACAGCTCTCTGGCATGCAGGCCCTGCCATAGGGTCAAGCTGCTAGGCTAGCGCTGTTTACCTAATACAGCCTCACCTCACCGGCTACAGCGATGTACATCAGGAAAAGCAGGGTCCTGGGGCTCGGTTCTGCCATCCGCTGCTTTGTCCTGGGGCAGCTCCTCTGAGGTCAGTGGACACTCCTGACACAAGAGAGAGGAGAATCAAGCCCTTGGGCTCAGGCTGGTTAGTTATAACTGAGCCCTTGTACTAGCCAGGGACAAGCTTCTCCAGCTTAAACTACAGAGCTGGGCCAGAACTTGTCATATTCTATTAGGAGTAGAAAAAATAAAACATCATTCTCTCATTAAAGTGAATTTAGTGCTGCATGGCGAGCCCAGGGGCAAATATATTTCAGCTGTGGTGCTGTGTGCTTCCTTTGAGTTACCACTGTAATCCTGGCTACCAGCTGCCAGGGAAAAGGTTGTCACTGCTGAGACAGTCAGTGGAGAGGCTGTTAAGTGCCCAGGATGCTCATGGCTTCGATGCAGGGGAGCCCCTCCACACCGAGTGAGACCCAACTCTTCCCAACACGGGGAACACCAAGCAGGACGCCCTGAGGGAGCGCTCCCTTGGCTTCTGCTTTTCTTCCTGTCCCAGCCTGATTCCTGTCTACTACAGAGGTGCCGCTCCGATAGGAGGAAATTGCAGAATACAGCCCACCTGCGGCTCAAGGTGCTTGACACTGTGTGTGTAACCCTCACAACGGCCCTGTGAGGTAAGTGGTATTGTCCCAATTGTATGGAGGAGTCTGCGGCACAGAAGGGAGGAATGACTTTCTCGATGGCACACAGCAAGTCTGTGGCGGAGGTACTCGGACAGCTCTCCTGGTGATGGGTATGACTCAAAACCCCAGACAGTCCTAACTCCCAGCTCCAAAATATCATCAGGAGACAGCACCAATAAGACCTCGCTGGTATATGATCCATCTCTCCCTGCCTGCCTACTGGTTTTCTACCTGGTGATGATCTACAGGCAGTTCACTGCTTTATTTACTGAGAGCAATATTTGCAAGAGGCTGAACAGAAAATCACAGAGGCCTCCCGGCTCTATGTCCCTTCATAGGGAGTGTGGTGTGTAGGGGGTGCTACAACACTCATCTCCCAGCTAATCCTGCGCCACAGGGGTAAAAATCTCCCCTTCGTGACACTGAGTACAGAGCCATGCATTTTAAATTGCACAACCCAAACCCCATTTCACATTATCCAGATGAAAAGCAGAAAAGAGCGTTATTGCAATGCTACTGTGTGCATCTGCAGTTTTTTATAGGGGGAGGAGGAGAGGGGAGGAAGATAAAATTTAAAAATAAGGAAAAAGAAGCTTCTATGCATCTCAGTGGAGCAGCAAAGCAATTTGGGGATTTGAAGGGCCAGATCCTGAGCAAACCTAAACTGGCTAAGATTCCCTGAAGTCACTGGAAAAAGGATGGCTCACACCAGCTGCGAATCCAACCCAAACAGTTCAGCTTACAGGCAGTTACTTGTGCGTGTTAAGTAAGACAGCACGAAAACCTTGCTCAATTTTCGAGGGCAGACACCATGAAAGAGAAGCTGCTTGAATGAGCTTCGCTGATTTGACGACCGATGGTATGCCCTTACAAGGAGGGGAAAAAAATGCCAGCCAGTGAGAGAGCCAAGTCCCTCACAATGTCCAGCCCAGTCTCCGGGGGAGGACAGAAGGTATGGAGGAAGCAGATGCGATAGCTGGAACTTCTCATTAGCTCTGTCCTCCCCCACTGAGAGGCTTGGCAGAGAATGGGAGGGAGGACACAGCAACGTTTAAACAGTGCCCTGACAAAATGTCATGCCAAGCCAGCAGGAATGGAGTCCGAGGCTGCAGTCCATGGGTGCCACCTGCCTTGCTTGCAGGCTGGCTCTTCAGATTGGCTGCTCGGCCTGATACAGCACCGCGCACCTTGTTCAGCAATTCTGAGGCAACGTCTTTTAGCTCCATGGTCTTACAGGCCTTGAAGGCAAAGTGACACTTGGCTGCATCTTAGTGTATCCCACATGGCTCCTGTGTCAGTCAGCTCCCCACAAGCACGGTGGCTTACAATTAAAAAGCCCTTCCCATCTGGAGCACATGCCTCTCAGGTAAGTGTGGACCCCACCATGAGAGCTCTCATGGCTCCCAGGGACCATCCGTGTGTCCTCGGGTGTGACCCGGGGGGAGCTTTCCCAGTTATTCACTGAGGGAAGGCACAGGTTACGAAGCACCATTTTGTTCAGTGCAACCTCCCACTTCAGGAGGTCTCACCAGCTGCGTGGTTATCACTGAAACCGCTTGTTGGCTTGCAGAGTGGCTGCAGGCTTTGACTGGCTGTTCACAGCTGTTGTCCTCTGAAGTGGTGTCCTGTGTTAAGGAGAGACAGAAACTCAACAGTGGGACCGCAGCCAAAGAACAAGGATTTGCAAGCACCTGGCTCTGTTCACAGCTGTCCTTACGCTGGCAGTACTGGGGAACCCACAGCTTCTGCTCATTGCCCAAGGGGGGCCATGATTCTTATAGGGGCAAGAAGACCAAGTGCAGTATGCTAAAAGCCAGAGAGACTGTGGTCCCTTTTGGGGGGCAGTGCCCATGTGCCTTGGGAATAGAAATCTGTGCTCGGAGTGCAGAACAGAACAACCGCTGCAGAGCAAAACGACATCAAAGGAAATCATTTAAGCTCCTCTCCCAAACAGAATCTGCTCTGCAACTCTCTGCTTGGTGCTCGTCTCCAGCAGGGAGCCACAGGGCAGTGATCAAACAGACCTGGGGTTGAGACGCAGGGCTCCAGCTGTGGGATATCTGAGATCTTCCCTGCTGAGGTAGGGGCTGTAACTTCCTTGCGGGGCCTGGCCATGGATGTTCGAACAGGTCTTCTCAATCTCCAGCTGGTCTGGCCTGTAGTGCTACTGCCTGGCAACAGGTTGCAAGGTATCCACGAGGAGGGTTTCTGCACGTTTCACGCTGAGTTTTCCTGCATTCATCTAGGTCCTGCTGTCAGCCAGGCAGTAAACCCACCTGACCTTCTTGTGGTGACATGAGGTTGCTCTGCTGTCTGGTGCCCTCGGGGGAATGCAAGACTGCACCAGCACAAGTCTGGTCTTCTGCAGCTCTCTGGAGATGGGGTTTATTCACTGGCTTTGTTGGAAGTGGGTTCCTTGTATTTGCCTGGGTCTGAGGAAGAGGAACACAGTGCATTCAGAGACTTCCTATGGCTGTTTTCATTGTGGAAGGAAAGGAAATATCAGGGACTGCTTTGGGTGGAGGGTAGTAGGAATGAGGTCTGAGTTTTGCAGGCCCTGCTTCCTTGAAAGATGCTGTAGCCCAAGAGTGACTCTGATTGTGACAACTTACTTCAGCCCCCTGAGGCCCAACCTTCAGAGGAGCTGGGCCCTGGCAACTTGCACCGGAGTCTTTGATGATGGGGAGATTAATTGACCCTGACTGGCCATTAGGAATTCTGAACAGGAGCTGTAATTCAGCCTAATTCACTGCTCTCGACATGGGATCCTCCTCATTTAACTAACATAATTACAAGCCGCCGGACCATGAATTACACTGTTGACAGCACCAGGTCTCCTCCATAATGTGTGAATTTAAATGCTCTTTCCAGTCTGCTCCTGGATTCAAAATAAAAGCTAGTTGAAGTGTAGCATGCCCACCTATGCTGCAGACAGACACCCCTGTCCAGCAGAACCAGCCTCTGACCTGTGCCTTTGACAGCTGCCGCTAACCTGGTACCAGCCCATCCAACCTTGGGGCCAACTACGCTGGTCTCTTAGCATCCACCGTTTTGTACAAGGGCTTGTACCAGTGCGTTTTGGGAAGGTCTGGGACTCCACCCTGCCTCAGCTATCAGGGCTGGTGCCAGAGGGCTGTGAGAGCATTTGTGGTATGGTGCAATACATCACAAAGTCATGGGAGTCTGGACTCTAGACTCCCAAGACTTTGTGATGGAAGTCTAGAGTCCAGACTCCCATCACAAAGTTGCATTTTGTGCAACTGAATTTCATTCCATTTCTATTACTACTGTCTTCAAGGTCATCCCATTCTTCCCCCTAGGATAGAGCAATCTTTCTAACATCAGCAAATTCCATTTGCACACATCTACTTTTCTCTGCCAAGGTCATTAATGACAGTATTAAATGATGTTGGTCCTGAGACCAATCCTTGACAATCTCCACTAATAACCTCCCTCCAGCCTAACACTGCCCCTTTCTTCACTGCCCACTGAGGTCTCCCCTTGACCAGTTCTCTGCCCTCTTTACAAATCTACTAAACTCCATCTTTACCAACTTAATTCCCCATCTCCCAAGAGGCACTATAGCAAATGCTTTCCTGAGGTCCAGACAGATTACATCTACTTGTGTCCACAAATGCCGATATCAGAGCCAACTATCAGGTTAACGTGGCACAATCTGCCTTTATTGTAGATGTTGTGCTTGATCCCATTTTCCATCTCCCTCCATGCCTTTAATTATTCTTTCCTACAAAATATTTTTTGAAAGGCTTGCTCACTACCTTGGGCTCAGACTGTCAAGACTCCATGCCTACCTGGCCCACCTGTCTCTTCAATTATCTTGTCCATCCCTACAAGCCAAACTTTGCATCCAGACTTGATCAAACAAAGAAGACATAGCTCTTTCCCAGTGCCACTGACAGAGGATTTGCTATGCCTTCTTCCCTCGTCCAACTCCCTTTCCTCCTGGCAGCTGACAAAATACCCAGGCTCAATGGTGCCATTGTTAAAGCATGTGAGAGTCAGTGCATTAATTGCATCCTTGCCCCAGGCTGGAAAGCACAAACCTTCAGCCACCGTGCAGTTTGTGCCACTGGCAGGCAAGTGGTCATGTCTCTGACCCTCTTCTTAATCCATGATCAACCTTTCAGATAGCAAGAGGTTGAAGCCTGAGTTTTCCCATGAGATCTCTGGGTATGGGGCAAAAACAGGGGAGATGCTTTAGACCATGCAGTTTAATGCACACACACACCATGCTTTGGTAATTGAAGGCTTAATAGGTTGACAGAGACACTTACTGGCCTGTGGGCTATGATGAACCCTTCTGTGCAGAACATCTGCAAGAGATATGCCAGTCATTATAAAACGGGCCGGGCCGTCTCAAGGGACTGCCATCTGGAGTTAACAGCTGTCCTGGTGTTTCCCAGTAATGGAGCACGCCACAAGAACTGCTAGTGTCTTGTCAGGCACTGAGTGGGAAGAAGAGCCTGAAAATTCACAGGAGGAAAGGGAAGCAGTAGCTCATAGGTGACTTCAAGCTAGTGAAGGGCTTGGGGAACCTCTGTCTCCTGAGGAAATCAGTCTTGGGACCGATTAGCTTCTCCCCTAGCGTGAATGAGGATGTGCATAATCCTGACCAGGGACGGAGCTCTGATTACTTTCCTCAGCCCCAGGGTGGCCATTGGCAAATGTACAGGTTGTCTGCAGACCCCTTTGTTACAAGGGTGCTTCTGGGGTCATGTCCAAACCAGTTTTAGGCCTCTGGAGCAGCAGTGGTTGCAACAGGTCCCCAATGCCTGGAGTCATATCACCGCCTGTCATAGGAGCTTGGTTTTTCACCAACCCAGACTGCAGGGCAATTGAAGGCTGGGCATGACTGTCATGTGCAATAAGGATGGAAAACAGGTCATGCTGAGGTCAGGCTACTTCCATGCAGTGCAGTAAGATGTTTTGAAGTTTCAGGGTCACCCTGTCCCCCAGATCCTGAAGCTGTCACTGTTTATACCTTTCCTCCAGAGCCATCATCCTGGCACTGCTAGGCCAGTCTCCCTGCAGTCTGATCATATGGGTCCCTGGCCTTGACATGGATGTACCTGTCAGATGCCACACAGATCACAGCTGAGCCAGAACATGGGGTCTATGTACAGCCTGCCAGCTTTGAAGGCTGATCCGTCCCAGATGTTTGTCATTGTTAGTCTTCTGTGCTGCATGTTTGCAGATGTTCCTACCTCTCTAGAAGGGCAGAGAGCTGGCAAGGCTGCACAGTAACCCTCTAAGGAGGGCGCTCCCTTGGCATCTATCAGTGGGCTAGGCAGAGTCTTGGCTGGCAGGGAGTCACTGCCCAAACCCTGAGGACCTTCTTTAATAACAAGGGTCCTAGGAGGCAGCCCCAGTCAGCCCGTTCACAGCTCTGAAGAGACCGTCCATTCCATATGCTGCCTGGGGATGGTCTCCTTGGAGGGCTGACAGCAGGCAAGCCAAGGAGTGAAAAGCCAGTCTCGTGGGGAGGTGAGAGAGGGAAAAACTCTTCCCCTGCATTCTGGAGGACGGGCCTGGGATAAGTGCTAAGACGGAGCAGGCTGCTGGTCCAGGCCCCAGCAGCAGTGTAGGCAGAGGGGATTCCAGCTCATTGGCACAGCTAAGCAAGTCCGTGGGACTCCAGGTCACAGGCTGAGCAGCGGGTGCCTCAGTCAGCCACACAGTGGACCTCACAGCAGACACCACAGATATCACAGAAGCAGGTGTGAGGAGCACACCCAATAACCAAAAAGCAGGGGCTCAGTGTCCCTCCAAGGGCCTTCCCCTTCCACAACAGCTGCACGTGGCTCAGTGGCTTTTACCTTACCAAATACAATTGATGTTCAGTCCTGTTCACAGGGACCCAGGTGGCAGCAACCATCCCCTCCCACAGGGTTGAGGCAGGACACCTCTTCTCATGGACTGCTTCAGCAGGGGGTGGTGTCTCTCTGTGGTTTTCAGCTTTCAGCTGGATGCCACAGACTGCCCAGGGAGGAACCAAGGGCAGCCTGATGATGGACAACCACAGGCCGCTCTTGCTTTAAATTAACTGGCTGCGTGCTGCCCGTTTGCTGTCCAGGACTGCCCGCCAGTCGTCGGTCCACGAGTGAAGCCTCCTGCTGGGGGGTTTCAGCTGCAGGTGCTTGTTGTGACAAGCTGTGAAGAGGATGTGCTCCCAGCTGGGGTTTGGCTCGGCACCTGAAAGATGGGAAGAGCAGAGAAACTCAGACAAGGGTCTCCAGGCTCCACCGTGACCTAGCTAGGGGGTTCTGTGCCCTGCACAGGGTCTTTATGCTGGCACTGGACTTTCATGGGTCTAGGATTTCATTAGCAATGGCTGAACACACACCACCTCTCTGATTACTGTTGCGGCCCTCCACACAGACGCACATGACTCTCAGTTACCAGACGTGTTTATTCCTAACCCCACTCCACCTGCATGTGGAGGGAAGGACTACATCCATTCACAGCTAGGGCAAAATGAAGGTTATGGGGAGATTAAATGACTTGTCTGAGCCCACACATGGGGGCAGGGGCTGAGTGAGCAAGGTCACAAGCAGCATTAGTCCCACTGCTTCTATAGCAAGGTGCTCAGATACTGTGCAGATGAGCATGATAAAAGAACTCGTACGAAGTGGCCAAGCACTGCACCCCGGCCTCCTGGATTCCAGCTCAGTGCTCCATCCACTAGGCTGATCCTACTCACCCTGGCTTGGGGGAGGACCAGCTCTGGATGTGAGTGTCCCCACCAGACCCCCTTTACCTCGGGTTAAACGAACCTCCTCTCAGATACTGGGAAATTCCAGTCCCAGTCTCCAGTTCTAACTGGCATTTGATGCCAGGAGGTTTCAGTAGTTTTTGCTCAATAATATTAGCCCCAAATAACATCATTACCAAGCTGGCAGCACACTGCCCTGAGGTCCCTGACACATTCAGTCTCAACCAGGAGAAATAAGGAAAACCCCCTGACTCTCACCCCAGCCTGCCCCTAGACACAGCCCACAGTGATCATTATTGGATGGAATCTCCCTTACCTGTTATATCTGGTCTGTCATCTATGAGGAGGTCAGCAGAGACCACGGTTTTATCACGGGTGAGAACAATCTGCTCCAGAAATTCTTGGCCAAAATGCTTCTCCACCCATGCATACTGGAAATGAAAGGGCAGAGTGGTCAGAGCAGCAGCCCAGGGTGGCCCAGGAGCTTCCCACTGCAGCCTGCACAGCCCTTGTCCACTGGCAACAAGGATCAGCAGTGGAGGGCAGCCACAATACAGCACCCTCCTTGGAGCCATATGTATTTAACCCTGCTCATGTGGCCTTTTGTATAAACCTTGCATGTTTTCCTTAGATTTTATCTCACTCCTGCTTGCAGCAATCTAAAACCTGTTTTATCCTTCAGTGAGGGCTGGTATTTTACACACGCATTTGCGTCCAAATGCAAGGACACCTGGACTATTGCTGCAGGAGCCCAGAGCACAGGCCCAGCACCCTTCTGTGCTCTCTCTGAAGGGCATATCGTTGCATATGCAGTGCCTCACTAAGGCAGCTCCACTGCTTCATGCAGGATTTGGTGCTTGTGGAGCAGGAGTGAGTGGGTTGGGCATGCTCCCCAAGGCATCCTGGATACATGTTGCAGGGTGCTCAGTGCTACTGCACACTGCCCCGAGCACACAGAGCTTCCCAAAAGCATACTAATGTCACCCTCCAAAATTCTCCCTCCTACAACCCCTGTTCCAGCTGCAGGTTCCCTGCCGGTTGTTATATAGCAGGAGCTTTTCATGCCAGTCACCACCTTCCTGCCCCACCCACCCCCTCTTCTGAGCTAACCCTCCCCACCTTATCCCAGAGCTCACTGGTTACCTTCTCATAAGGGCAATAACGGTACATCTTGATTGGACTTGTACAGATGAACACATCAGTGCTGCCAAAAAACACAGAAGGAGAACATGGTTGGGTGGCAAAATGGACTATGTAACCCTGGCTGTATTGATCCATAGCACCACGGCTGCCAAGCTGTCCAGCAGCCTAGTGTGTGCTCAACACTCTGCCCTGAGTTGTGTGTGTGCACTCAATACTCTGCCCTGAGTAGTGTGTGTGTGTGTGCACGCGCGCATGCACTCAACACTCTGCCCTGAGTTGTATGTGTGTGCACTCAATACTCTGCCCTGTGTGTGTGTGTGTGTGTGCGCGCGCACGCGCACACACGTACTCAACACTCTGCCCTGAGTTGTACATGTGTGTGCACTCAATACTCTGCCCTGAGTTGAGTGTGTGTTTGGCTCCTGAAAGGTACTCTCCCAACAGCTAAAAGTAGCACAGCCTTGGCCTACGAACAAAACCCCACAACTGGAGGAACAAAGGGAGTTGTCAACCAGGATTAACCGGATTGGAGCACAATCCTCATGGAGATCCTAGTATGTTTATCTTGGGTTGTGTCTACTGTGCCCCTGAGCCCTGTCCAAGAATGCCACCATGAAGCGGGCACCACGCATTACTACCAACTCCCAGAAATGAGGCAGGCTGACTAGCATGCCATTGCCTTGCTCCCAGGGACCAGCCCAGCATGGAGGCAGTGCAGACAAGCCCTCAGGATCAATCAGCCAGGACTCCAAGGGCTGCCCCCACTGCTGCAACCAGCACCCCCTCCCCACCGTACAGCTGTGTACCTACTTCTCCATATTGGCCATCTGCTTCACAGCTTCCACAGCGCCTGGGAGTGGATCCAGCTCGATGAAGAAATTCTTTGATTCCCATATGCTTATTGCTTTCTCCTGCAAAAGGGAACATAAGCTGGTTACTGAATGGTGCCTTCTGCCATTTTGTCCCTCCTTTCTTTTGCCTCGCAAAACCCCTTCATTTGGTTTAAGTATTGCAGAAGCTGGGTAGGGTAAACCGAAATCAGTGCCTTCCATGGCAAGCAGTGACAAGCATGACATGTATTGCTTCACTGTTTTCTTGGGCTCCCCTCTGTTGTCTCTTGCATGACTTGATTTTTGTCCAGTGTCTACAGCGCCAAGCTCAGGGAAGCCCTGGTCCAAGTTGAGGTTTCTCAGGGCTATCACAAGATAAAGAATAGAGGGGCTAGGCCAGGGCTTAGTTTCCCCCCATCCAGTAAAAGT